AAATTTAATTATTGTTTACATACTTGAGAACTACGCCAAAAGCTTCCCCATTCGGAATTCGATTTGACAATTTTATAAAAAGAAGAGGGCGGCTTCTGGGCTGCCAAAAGAATTGCCCTTAATTTGTACCAGCTAGCGGGGAAAAAGGGTTGACAGCTCGAAGGGTTGCGGGTTGAGTCAATATGTGCACGTAGCTAAAATTTGCATGCGAATCGACGGGGGGGGGGGGGGGGGGGAAGGGAAGTGCTGAAAGGGGAACTGGTGGCAACATTCATTAGCCTTTACTTGGCGTATTGTGATTGGAGCGCTTACTAATTACCTATACAAACAATATGATAATAGATTTGCTGACATTAAGACTGAGTATATATATATTCCTGTGAGCATATGGCTAAATAATGAATACTGCCAAGGATTCTTTGAATAGAAAATAAGGAGGTTAAGGGTTAATATAATCAACCTACAAGCTGAACGTTAAATGAAACAGTTCGCAACCAGAACGTCTATATATTTTGTACTATTCACAAAACCTTTAAACAACTCAGTTTTTATAAAAATAGCAGTCCTTTTCAAAATTGATTTGGTTAATAAAAATAAAGAATGCAGCACCAAAGTATAAATAACTTTGGCCCCAAACATTGCACATATCCAAACAATTTCTGTTAGATGTCAATTTTTGGGTACAGCTCAAACTTAGCCCGCATTTTGTGTATAGAAATATTAACAACTTACAATATTTTCAGCACAGCAGGCAATTTTAGGTTAAAAATTGAAATTTATTAAAATTTTAAAAAATATATATAGCAAGCCTATAACAAGGCTCACGAGACGAAGCACCAAGAATTTGATTTATTAAATAAATATTGCAACAATCAAATGTATTGATGATATTTAAATTGTGTGTTAACTTAACTATTGTTCAGTTATAAAATATTTATAATGATATTTCTTTAATTCTTGGTGAACGTCTTGAATTGACTTAAGATCCTATGTATAATCTTTTCGCAGCGAATTTGAAATCCAGTTCTTTTAATATTATTGCTTATAGAATCGACTTATACTTGTTCCAAGCATCTCTACATGTAAACTCTTTTCGTATGAGAATCTTGATCTTTTATTATTGATCATCAAAGAAGGCAAAATGCGCCATAAAAACAGTCACAGTACCATGGACTTCTATTAATACTTAACAACTTTTATGATTTTTCCAACTCTGCACCTAAACTTTTAGCACTTTTCAACACTTTTAAAGCATCTGTTCAACTTTCAATCTCTCCGTTTAAAAAGATGCACATTTAACCATATCTGGCATCTGCTTCTAATTAACTACCTTTTCGCCGTTTCGACTTTAAAGCGCGCCATAAACTTTGGGACATGCTTATCAAAGTGTTTTGTTTGCACTTTTTAATTTACTGCAATTGAGCTGCCAAATCAAATTGCGATAAGAAACGCATAAAACTTGGCCCGCTCCCGGATGCGAGTTACCCCACATGTGTGTGCGTGTGTGCGTGTGTGTGTGTGTGTGTGCGTTGTAAACTAAGCCAAGTGCAATAATTCAAAGGCGGCCTCAAAGCGCCTTCCCCTTGGAAAAGCGAGTCGGTGCTCGCTGTTGTGTTCGGATTTGTTTTTTAAAATGCCGCAGGGATCGATTATTGCCGTTCAAATTCGCATAAAACGTGCGAGTTGCCAAAAACGATTTTAAACTCGAGCCCAGACAAAGAGAAACACACACTCGAATTGGGGTTTGGAATCGGAAAAGCCTCGGCATATGCGTGTGTGTGTGCCTATGAGGCCGGGGTGGGCAATAATTTAAGGAATTTGAACTCAATTCAAAGACGCATTCAATTCCTGCACAGGCTGCGCAATTTCGCGATATGAATCTCAATAAAAATGCATTTAAAATGTTGACAAAGGAGCTCTCCCTCTCCCTCTCTCTCTCTCTCTCTCTCTCTCTGCCCTCGGTACACTTCATTTCGCGCAATTGCCGGGGCTTATTGAAGAGGGCACGACAATTGCTAAATGGAAAAGCTTCTCCCATTTTGCACGCAATTTGGCCGTAACTCAGCCACAGCTGAGTCCGGCCCGGCCCGGCCCGGGTTCTGGCCAACTGCTGCCTACTGCTCATATATTTCAAATGCAAAAAGGAGAATAAAATTATTCAAATACTTAATTTGAAACGAATTTCGAACATATTGAAACGACACACTGGAGAGTGGCTCCAGTGAGAACAGGCTTTGAATTCACTGGAGTTTTAGCAAGCTTCAGAGTTAATAAGCTAATCAATATTAAATTTAAACAGAATCCTATATAAGCTAAATCACGCCCAAAAGCGGGCACAAAATCATTCAGATGGGAATTTGGATTCAGTCTTCAAAAAGTTCAAGTTCCATAGAAGCCGCATTTTATATCTAATCATAAACATAGTTTCGAAGCTGTCAAAGAAGTATATAATTATATCAGTAAAAGTCAAGCGATCACAAGACCAAAATCCTCTAAGCTTCAGATGAGAAATATAACTCAGAGTTCAATTTTCAACAAGTTCCAGTTCCAGAGAACCGCAGATGATTTCTAATCCTAAACATAGTCTCTCTTTTAGCTGTAAAAAATGTCTAATATATAATTTACCATCATTATATCATATCGATTTTCAGTAAAAGTTAAGAAGAAGACAAACCTATTTCTTCAAACGATCACAAGACTTCAATCCTTGCGAAATGGAACTCACGAGTTCAGTTTTCGATAAGTTCAGTTCCAGAGAAACATCAGATTAGAAGTAATCTTAATTATACTTTTCCAAGTAGTCAAAAAAAAAAATGTATTATTTAATTGTTCATTTTATCATAAAAGCCCTCCTTAAGCGATTACAAAACTAACATCTATTAATCCTCTGAGAAATAAAAGTCAGAGTTTAGTTTAAAATAAGTTCTCGGTCCAGAGATAACTTGGATGATATCCTACTTTAAACATCTTCTCAAAGTTGTTAATAACATTAGAATCCTTAAAGAACTGTCAGAAAAGTGACTAATAATAATTGGGCATCATTGTATCATATTATTAACATATTTAGTAAATGTTCAGATGGAAAATCCTAGTTCAAGCAATCAGAAAACTAAAATCCTTAAAGATGAAGTTGGGATAAATATCAAGCAAAGAATTTGTTTTCATTTGACTGTGATCTTAGAGAATCTTCAAAAATTCCAGAGAAAATTGGGCTGAAAAGTTATGAACTCTATCAATATATTAGTTGAGCTGCCTTGCCCCTATATCAACTCCTAAGCAGTCTTTTAGGTGGCGCCTAAAATAATAAAAATAGCTCAAATTTATGTTTCTCAGGAATATTTTTTGCACTCTATGCAATTATTAAGGTTCGTAATATAGTTGCATTGTGAATATTATGACATTTATTATGAGGTTGGGCAAATGCTGGGCGCACTCATGCTGTGCGTTCAGTTTGTTAGCACAATATGCACTGATTTCCGCAGAAAGGTCGTGAGTGTAAAAATAATGTCATAAATTTCATAAAATGTCAAACAAGGCGAACAAAACACCTGCCCAGCCTTTGGCTACCTGAGCGTGTCGAAGACGTTGAGGAACTATGGGTAGAACTTCTTGTCGGGGATAACAGTTGATTAAAAATTGAGGCTCATTTGTGATGCAGTTTTGTGTGCGATGACAACATCAAAGTCAAAGCCAGAGTCAAAGTCAAAGCCAGAGTCAAAGTCAATGTCAGTGTCTGGAGAAGTTGTTGATCGGCCGGCAAGTGCTGGGTAATTATGTTGAACAATGAGCAACAATTCCAGTTGCTGCAGTTCCAATTAGTCACATTACACGACCGAAGGCAAAAACATGCTCCACACCATAAATGGTCAATAGAATGATACAACCCACGGCGACCAGTCTCAAGTCAACAACAAGACCAAAAGACACACAGATACAGATACAGATACAAATACAGAGGCAGACGCAGATACAGATACAGATACAGATACAGAAGGCATGCAGTAGGAGGCTGCAGCACTTTGAAGATCTTACAGCAGCTGCTCGAGAGTCGAAATATATGTTAACTAAACGGAATTTATGAACTTTGAGCTGTCATATATAATAATATTAATAATAGGAGAGAGGAGAGCCCGGACGAAGTCCGTTTGACAGACCTTATGACAGTTTATTAGATCGCCGCTCCTTAGCTGGCTGATTGGCAGCTCTGGCTCTGGCTCTGGCTCTGGCTCTGCGAGCTGCGGCCGAGCCAAATGCAGTTCGTTCGCTAATTGAATGCAATTAAAAAAGGAAATTAAAATTTAAATTACAGAACTGCGGCTAGGCACGTGTCCATCACTGGGACGCCAGATTTAGTCGTTGCCTGTGTCGGAGTCTCGCTGCCAAAGCACCCGTAAATGGCCCGGCCACGGCGATCAGCTTATAAGGATGCCAGCGCGATCATACCTGGAATTCTATTTTAATTTATGGAAACTCTCAACCGCCCCAACGCAAACGCAACGCCAAATGTGGCCAACTATTGAAATGGACCTTCTCGACTTTGGGGCAACGGAGGAGGAATTTATCAGAAAACTTTCTTATTAAGAAGCAGATGTACCTATGCATACTCCCCATTTAAATCTTTATATTATCTGCTGCTGAACTTGTTATTGCATTTATTTTATGATAAATAAATTACTTTGATCTTAACTTTGTCTAGGGAATATGAAAGTTGTTGGAAGGAATTACTGTAGACAAATGCTCGGAATGACGAAGCTCGTAAATGCTATATAAGAACCTACTTTTCCTCCGATCTTTCCTATTGCAGCTTTATGATATAGTAGTCAGATGCTGATAAGATTTTAAAAATATATAGGAAGCAAAGTGTAATTTATGAATGCCGAGTTACTATGGCAGCTTTATGATATCGGACCCCTATATCATATCATATGATAAGTTATAAAAATATTCAAGAATGAATTATACTTGACATTTTAAAAAGAAAACCAATTGAGATCTTTATTGGTCCTAATAGAAGTTAGAAAGCCTTTCATTCTGAGTAGTTTTGTTCCTTCTTTTCGAATATCCGTTTTCTGAGGAATTCTTCTTAGATAGCGTCTATTGATAGAGATTTCCTCAATATACGGTTTCCGCTGCCACTGAAGATCATCAGCAGAAGGTTAATTTTGTGTTCTTATAGATTTGATTACTTTGTTTACCTGCCCGAAAAGGCGTTTCTTATGAATGAAGCCATCAACAGGCAACTCCTGAGTTCTCTCACACCCTTTCGAACAATTTGAGTGCGCGACAATTAAAAAGTCTGGGCGAGAGCTGGGCCAACGATAGGCTGCAGATGATTCCAATCTTGTCCCAGCACGCGCTCTGAATATCACCTACCGAAAAACAAAAAACTTTTCATTCACTTTTCTCAAGACTTCAGTTATTTTTTTGGAGTGCCAGCGAGCTACGCCCGCACCTTTTGTGGCCACTTTTTCGTGTGTTTCTCTTAATTTGTATCTCAAATTCTGTTTCATTTATGATTCCTCATTTCTTGCCCGTTTTTTCCTCGAGATGCTATCAACTTCCATAGCAAATAGCGAGACGCTGCACGTGCTTCACATTTTAAAATGTTGCCAGGCTCCATGGATTTGATTTTATGAATGAAACCAACCTGAGACAAACAAACAGTTTGATACTTTGTTACTTGAGCATATTTCATTAATATATTTTCGGCTACTCTCTCTCCAGCAGGAAGCTGTTGCCCCAAGCGATGCCTGAGGAACTCAGTGCTGGGTATTTAGGTTTTTCTGTATATGCGCAACCCCCATTCGAGCTCAAGGCCAGCTTTCCGTTTGTACTATATGATTTATTACTGCCAATAAATCGAGCTTGCCAGCATACGAGCATTTCTTGGTTTATTTCACGCTCTAATTTTCCTTGATAAAAGCTACTTCATACGCGCCCGGCAGCAGATGGAAAAGTCTATGGCAACATTTGCCATACGCATTATTTCTGCATAATTTTCCAATATTTTATATGACAGCCATAAAAATTGTCAGCACAATTAGTAGCAGGTTGCAAAAATTATCCAACGGCACTTGTGTCCGATATAGTCAGACATCTATATATCATATTGAGGCAAGTTATACGTTATCTTGACTTCTCTTTGGGACAAGTTGAAGAGAGCGTCCAATTCACGTTCCAATAGGAATGGTGTTCATAGAAATCCTCTCGTTATACAGTTCTTCAATTAGTCTGAAGATAATATTTTCTTAGTTACACGTTTCTCTCTTTTTATTCATTGGAGTTTCTTTCTTTTGAAAGTCTTTACCAAACGTTCGTTCCGTTTCACAAGTGCATTCTATTTGGAACTAGTTCCACAAACAAGTTACTTCATTTAAACCTGACTCCAATCGAAATATGGCAAAATCTGTTTATGTTTATCTTGTTGCTGCCAAGAAAAAGAGACCAAGCAAATGCAGCTAATCAAGTTGACCAAAGGGTTACCGAGCGTGTCCTGGCATATTAGCAGGGCGTTATATCACTCTCTTGGGGGGGACAATGCTTTGCTTTTCATTTCACAGTCTCAGAATCATAATTCAAGTCGGCCCTCAAAGCAAAAGCAGGTCATTTGTTATGTTCCGCCCGAAAACTCGCATTGGGCCCATGACGAAAGTGCCAAGTGACATATGTAGAGATGGGCAATGGATGTGTGTGCATGTGTGTGTGTAAGTGTGTGTTTGTGTGTGCATCTGTGTGTAAGTGTGTAAGCTAGTTCTGGGGATGTTACACAGCAAAAAAGTACAAAGACAAAGGATAAACTAAGTTTTTATGTACTTAAGATATTTCGTCGAAAAAACTACTTAAGATTTTAAGCACGATTCGTCTTGGATTTTTATCTTATCAAAAGAAAAATTCTGAAAATTAATGAGCAGCTCTTGACTGGAGATAAAAAATCATATTTTAAGTACATAAACTTACTTGAGCCCAACAAAAAAGTCTTATAAAACTCAAGCTAGAGAAAAATAAACCAAAGCTTTCACTTTAAACAATCTAAATTACTCTTAAAAAATATTCTTTAAGAATTTTGTGCTCAGCTAAAGAAAAGTTGACCTTATGAGATTTCGAGGGTTACACTTCAATTGGTTTTTTTTCAGTGTAGTTGCCAATATGCACTTGCCGTTGACAAATGATGCGCCAGACACAAGATTCTGTGATTTATCAACAGTCAAAAAAAAAAAAAAAATTATAAAAATTTTGCAACGCTTTGCGAAATATCTGAGAGAATTAATGGATGCCATTTCAAAGTAAGTCGAAGATGGGGCCAAAAGTGCCGAGGTAAAGAGTTTTGCCACTAGGCTTTTGGTTCAATGCACCTCAGGCGCGTGGGCGTGGCAGTGGGTGGGGGTGGGGATACGGATACGGATACGGGTGCGGGTGCGGGTGGTCCAGCTGCAGCAGCTGTTTTGCTGCTGGCTGCTGGCTCGGCCTCTGTCCGGTGCGGCAAGCGTATCGATTTTAGCTCAGACGCCGTCGCAAACGTGACGAGCATTGCGAATGGGCTGGCTCGATTGTAAGAGAGGGGGCTGGAGGGGGCTGGGGTGGAGAACCTGAGTTGTTGCAGCTTAAAGTTCAAAGTGTCAAAGAAATTAGTTAATAATTATTGGCTTTACTTTCGCTTTGTGCAGCACTTGGAGCACTTTAAGAGCAGCGTCAAGCTGTCTGCCGGATCCGGTATTCGGCCTTAAGTGCGGACATGCTGCGAACATTTATCTTAATTGCCATTCAATTGGGGACACCTCAGCCTGCAGCAGCAGCAGACGCAGCCGCAGCAGTCGAAGCGGAGAATTCAATTTGCATACACGCGATGTCGGCAAAGCCGTTGTCCATGTCCGCAGCTCCTGTGGAACCTGGCTCTGCCTGGTCGTGTGTCTTTCGAATTCCGTCCACACGCTGCATGCCTCCTGCTGCTGCTGCCACGGCTACTCTTCTCGTTCCTGTTCTCATTCTCATTCCTGTTGCTGCCGCAATCACCGATGCTCAATGTTTGTGCAACTAATTAACATTTTTAATGGGCAATCCTTGTAGGCATTGAGAACAAATGAAGTGGAACAACATCTTAGAGTGAACCCAGAGATTTGATTTAGAGCGCAATTAATATTGATTTTTTTCCACATCTTTGCAATAAGCAACATCGAAGTGGAATTAAATGAGCTGCTCAGAACAGAAGCTAGAAATTGCCTTAATTTACGATCATCAGAAACTGACCTTAAATACTTAGCTCTTCTTTCATATATTATTGTGATCTGTTACGTTTACCTTACTTTTATATAAATAAATATTTAAATGTGCACTTACCTGAAAGTTCACATGATTATTTGGTTGCCTTCTAAGTATTAATTGTATCAGACAGACTTTTATATATTCACATAACTGAAAAAAACAAGAAAAAAGTATTAGACTAAGAGGAGGAGCAAGATGAGCACATTGAGAAACAGAGAGAGAGTAAATTAGAGTGAGAGTTACGGCAGATATGACGTTCATAAGATTGCCAACACACTTAAAATAAACTGTACCCGCTGGCTCCTCGAGTTTCCTTCTTCACGAACGCCATCACCTACTACTCATGTTACTGCTGAGGAGGAAACTCCTGCTACTTATCCTCTTCCTCAGCCTCCTGCTCGACCTCCTCCTCCTACTGATACTCCCATTACTTCTAATACTACTTCGCTGCAGCCTTAAACCTAGCTAGCCTTACTTAAAATGATGAGAATCGAGTAGAAGGGCACCATTAAAAATTAAGTTATATTTAATTTGCACTGCGATGAAAAGTAAACTTTGTCCGCGTTTGGTATAAGGAAACATACATACATACAAATATACATACATACACACACACACACATATAAACCAACTTGTTTTATATACATTTATACACACATGAAACATACTTTGCACAGTCCCTGTACCTTTTCTCTAGATTGTGGCCAAAAGAAAAAACCGCCGTTAAATTAAATAAAAGATGTCAAAGTTGCGAAACGTCATAAGTAAATTATTCACAATAGATTTTTGTTTGATTGACACACACGCGTCGCCGTGGCATTCGTTTGATTCGTTTGATTCACAAATAATTCACATGAAATTCGAGGCAAAAATTGGCAGATATTATGTGGTGCAAATGGCACGTGCCGGGGGCGTGTGCGTCTCTATTAGGGATACGAGTGTGTGTGTGCGGGTGGAGTGCGTCCCGAACGAATTGGTATAAAAAAGAAGGAAGGCATTTCATTAGTCGATTTCTTGAGCCGCACTTTAATAACTTAACTAAATGGCCTGACATTTAGTTGACAAATGTCTTAATAAGCAGAGCTGCAGCAACATTGTCACGAGATGGGCTCAAATAATTTGGTCTGGCTGGCGAATGCCCCAGAGAACCGGGCCTGGAGCAAATGCAAATCGCGTCAAGTCGAGGAATTTATCATCCATGATGATATCGTTGTCGCAACTACAAGACGATCCGGCGCTCGCCCAAGTGTAAGACTATGAATAATAAAAAGGGTTAAATTAGCATTTTCACATTTATTTGAGCGATGACATGCCCAGATACGACTTATAGACGCCCCACCCTGCCCCGACCCCGTCCCCGTCCATGGCAGGGGTTACTCCTTGAGCGCGTGCTACGGCAATGATGAGGCGCGTTAGCGCTGGTTAGGGGCAACTCGTTGGAACGAGTTAAGAAATTGCCAAAGCAATTTCCGATGACACACATGAAAGCCAACGCTCTGGGGATAATCACCCAGAGCCAAGCCGGAAGAGCCCAGACGGAAGCCAAGGACAGTTTAAGACGAAGGCGCTGAAGTCTAAGTGTGAAGAGATTATTTGATTAGAAGCAGCGTCAGCTACAATTGAGATGAAAGCAGAGATGTCAGTCGATAAGGAATTATGCTAAAGGAATATGACCAGAAGTGTGATGAGAAACGAGGCTGGCGGAAATAAGGAACTAAGCTGAAGGATTATTTCTATCAATACAAAGATAACCTCTGGAACTGGAACTGGAACTACAAAAAGATGAGTCCGAGTTTTAGAGTCTAGTTTATTAATTCAATGTGTTTGATTCAAGTTAAAAGAATAGATGTTGCTATTATTATTACTATTATTATTATTACTACACATTAGCCTAGACATTAGCCTTGAACCCGAACTGAAGACCTTCCTATTTATGCGTATAACTTGAAATTCGATGACTCAGAAAGTACTTGCTTTAACTCAGAGTATATATGAAGTTTGTTCTAGATAAAAACTCAGTCTGAACTGCAGTAAGAAGTCGAGAATTAAAACAAAAAAGCCCATTGGTAACTTTCGTTTGTCAGCCTTGTGCTTTATATAGAATCGGTTGCGCTCACTCCTTGCACGCGTTAAACATGCACAAAAATGTAAAAAATTTGATTTAATTTATCGACAGATACTTTTGCCGAGATTCACCTGCACAGAGCCCCGACCCCCGCCAGCCGCCATCCGTAAAGGTTCCACGCTTTCAGCGTTCGACAAAAGTAGCACAAAAGGTCCAAGAGACAAACGCAGACAATCGGACAAAAAGCGATGAAACATATTTCGGGTTTTTCATCGAGAGCGAGCCAAAAAAAAAAAAAAAGACACCAACTAAAAAGATTTTTGGTACCACGAGTACCACAA